CCTGCGGTGATGGAAGGTACGTGTCAACTTTACAAGGGAGCCAAGCACACACACCAACGCGCACGCATGCCGCAGCACAAGCTGACAAATTGCGCAAGTGATTGTGGTGGATTTTTAATGTGCGAGTACTTTTTTTTTCTTTTTTTTTTTTTTGGGTTAGCGTGTTGGCCGTAGACAAGCGTTCCCAAGGAGAGAGTGAAGAGGCATCCAGCACACACAGCCTGGGGCCCTCTGGAGGAAAGACTAAACAAGACCTTCCCATTGGGACACACACACACTGCCTCCAGCTGCAAATGACCTACTAGTACCCACTTCACATACTGTACACACACACACTGAAAAGACACTATGATAGATTTTATTTTCATTTCAAGAGGGAAAAAGTATCATGTGGGTTAATAAACATGTACTCCGTTATTATGTTCCATGATTAGATCAAATTATCTTCTCTTTAAGTGCTGGTTAACAGCATCCTCCTCCCCAGGGCTCCATATTTGAGCAGGCTGAACACCACAAACTCTGAAGCTGTTGAGTTTTTGCACATTTCATTGAAACTTCAACTGGTCGGTCATCCAAGAAGAGCAGGGACTCTTCTATAACCTGTTCTGCAAAGTGGTCGAGGGTCTCATTAAATCGATTAAAAGCTGTGTTGTAATATAGTTGACCTGGTAACCTATGTCAAGTCTGTCTGTTTTTTGTTTTCAGCCGCAGCTGGAGTGAAGGGCGTTTCCCTCCAGCAGGCACACCTGTTCAAGGCTGCCAAGTATTTACAGACTGCCAAGCTGCCCTGTCTCTTGTCAGATTATTCTCGGAAAACTGGAAGACAGCGCTACTTATATTTTGAAACGAGAGTGCTGAAAACAGCCCTCTCTCAGCTTCCAGAGTTGCTCATTAGCCACCAAATGTGACATTTTCACAACTTCATGACACATTTTACACCATGTTATAATTACACGCAAAATGTATGCTGCGCCATAAATTTTAAACAAACCAAATATGCGTTTGTCTCAAACATCAGATTCTTAGGGTGCTTTTGACAAAGTACATCAATAAATTTAAGCTTGCCAGATATGTGAGAAATACCACTAAAGAGTAAACAATAACCAAGGAGGCCAATCCACATTGACAGAAATAACTGCTACAAAATGCCTACATTGTGTTGAGAAAACACGTCAAATATATTGCTAAAATTGCGATAATGTTCTAAACGTTAGTGTGCTGGAGGGAGCCTGAGGATGTACATATCTTCTTGATATCATCCTCTGACTGTCAAACAAAGGCTCCCCGCCAAGAAAAACTCCCACAATCAATATGCTGCCTGCTACAAGGTGTACGTATAAACGCATACGCACACAAACGCAACGGGGATGGTGTACAAAAACCAAAGCACAATCAGCTGCGCGCTCATGCAGCCTCGCACTGCAAGTGCACATGCACAGAAACTGTCACGCGTGCTAGAAAACACTTAATATGCAAATGTTTTGTTGTTGTTGTTTTTTTTTTTTTTTTTTACAACAGGGACAGCATTTTTATTGGATTCATTTGGACATGGGGAGTGGGCTGAAGATAGATAAATAGGTCTCCAGATATACAGCTTGGATTCCCGTTGATGAGATTTCACATACGAAGCAGCAGCGCGCTTAGGACAGGGAATACCACCACAAAATAATGTTTTCTCTCCCACTGATCAATTTTTAATTTGGCCCGTGCAGCCGAGCCCTTGGCGGGCCTGGCCCCGGTAATTATGGCGGGTTATTGACAGCCGCCTTCCCGCGGGAGGCTATTTAAAAGAGGTTTTAACCCCAGAGCAAGTCCAGGCCCAACGTCCGCCTTTGAAGGTGTCAAGTGCATTGATCTGAGCTGCGGGATGTGCTGGGACCTGTCCACCTGGACGTGCGCACCCACGTGTGTGTGTTGGTTGCTGGAGTGAATCAGAGGATAGAATGATACCTGCTGGCCTCTGTAGCCACCTGATGCCCACGAGATAGGCTATACACGCTGTACATTCAATGTTTTCGCATCGCCTCTCACACGCACACATACAAAACCACAGCTTGGGGGGAAATGGAGCAACTAATGAGAGTTGAGGAGAGGGGGAAGAATAGTGATTGGATAGAGAGGTGGGCATCCACTCAGTGCAGAAGGCCGTGATACAATGCAGGCCCAAGCGAAAGGTGCAGTGTTGAAAAAGACATCATCTGGTTGATGGAAAAAAAAAAATGTTCAAGGGGCTGGAGGGAGGTCACATGACAGGACTTAAAAGGATTTTTTTGGGGGGTGAGTGTTTGAGTTGGTCTGCCTCACTGCCCCCATTCAGCCTCCCATTGAAAAAGAGCAGATACAAATCCAAAGGCTTTTGACACCCTTCTGAAAACACCACACCCCCTTTCACTTTGCCAAGGGGTCTCCAGTGAGAGTGGGAGTGGGGTGGAGAAATGCCACAGATCTACGTACGTCAGATTCACAATTTATTCGGCAAAGGTTGAATTGAGGGCAACTGGACTTTTTCGTTGCTTCGGGTGTTTTCTTGACCCTTAAAAGTGAAGAAAAATGACACTGTTAAGAAGAAGAAGTCATTGTTGTGGGTACTTGTGTCGGGTACTTGTGGAGAACGAGGAGAAAGAAAGTTGGCGTATCTGAGTTGCATGGAATGATTTGTTTTTAGCTGTTGACCTGTAACCCCAATATAGCATTTAGCAGCCAACACAACCACTGGTCACAACATTGACAAGCGATGCTCAAACTTCGAATCGCCAATTCATGATTTTGCCATCTGTAAAATAAATTGCAGAAGCCTTACGATTTCCTCTTCATTTACCGCACACGGAGGACAACTCCAACCGACTGTACTGTACACACAAAGAGGATAACTAATGACCCCGTCTCTCAATACTTCTTTCTTGATTATTCTGACTGATTTTCTTCCCGCCGCCCTTCCGAAAGCACGCAGCCAGCGCCCAACCCCTCCAGCGCCTCAGTCTCAGGATGTAGAGCAGTGGCAGGGCCAGAAGGTAATGATACAGCTGCCATGGTGCAACAAGCAAACCTGTCGACTGTCAGAAACTGAAATCATGAAGGAATAAGCTGTCATTAAGAGGCCTTCTCCCCGTAGTGGAGCATATATATATATATATATATATATATTTTTTAATACGAGCATCTATCCTCTCTGCCTGTCCCACCCCATTTGCAGTCGCCTTCCTCTCATTTCACTCTTCTTGCTTCAATCCTGTCTCGGCACCTCACTCCCCCCCCTTGCTCTGCTGTCTTCAAGCCAATCATAAAACCTGCATCCTCACCAACTTCCTTTTCCCTCATATCAGATTCCTCTCTCCACCTTTTTGCCCAAACTCAGTGCACTAAGTTCTTCTTACCTGTCACTTGACAAAAGGCTATGGGAGCAGCACCACTTCCGTGTTCACGCAGGGCCATGAAGCCGGCCGGCATGCACGCGATCTGCACAAGCAGCTTCAAAATTTCAAATATCAGAAGCGCACACGTGGCGCTCGATGTGGATATGTGATGTGATCATGTATGCCCAATACGGTACATATGTGTACATTCGCATACAATATTCTTGGGCTGACAGAAATATCCCCGCTATATGGATAGACATGATTTATCTCTTGCCAATGAATCGATCGGGTATAATCTCATCTCAGCTGTATTTAGACAGCACTTTAAAACAACCTTCGCTGTATTTGAGGTACTGCACATGGGCCACAAGGACACAAACGGCAACAAAACAATACATTAACACAAAACAACAAAAACTCTCACGCTGAGTCAAAAATGCGTCACAATAGACACAAACTCCACTGGCCGTACGCCGCACACCCGTGTATTCAGTAGAAACGAAGCTTGACATTTTCCTCAAATGGTAGAGAATGATGTCACCAGTTCCAGTACACTCACTTGGAAAAGGCATTCGCACAAATTTCATGCTATGACAGACTGAGCCGCAAACACGTCCCTAATCGATGCAGACAGCACCAATCGACAACAAATGTACATGACGGTCTACCCCGCGCATGCCTCAGTACAAGGCACGTCTGTGGTAAACGCCTGGATGATGATTTGTCAGAGTGTACGAACAGGATTCCTTGTTTACGATGATGAACGAGCAAGACTCGCACTTCCATGTTCTCTATATCCCGCCTGTCACGTTGGCTCTCTGCAGCACGGCGTTGCCTTCCACTGCAATCCCAGCTCGGGTAAACGCATTTCAAAGACAGTCTCTGGATCGCTGAATCATCGGTTAGCATAACTCGCAGGCACGCAATACAAACATCTCCTGAAGTTGTACACAGCAGGAAGGGGGCTTTACGCAGCAGTGAAAGTCTTTATGGCATTCAGATGGGCGCATTGGAGGGACACGGAGAGAACAGGATCCCTCCCCTAAGTCAATTTGAACAGCAGGCCAATGAAATTACACAGGTAGGGGTGGCCAGGCTTGACAAATGAGCACAGAGGTGGGGATGAAAATAATATGAGAGGCAGAGGTCCTTTTTGCTTGCTTTTACCATGTCTAAACATATGTCCGAAACGACATGGTATGGGAGAAGAAAACAAGAAATGTCTTATTCCTTCTCACAAGTATACACAGATGTATCAGATGTACCATTGTCCACATATTTTGTTTTTGATGGTCAGGTTTACAAATTATATTCTGTTCTTCCCAAAACTGTTTGAGGTTTTCTTCCACCACAACCAACCATGCATTTACAGACCTGGCATCTGGCATCTGGCATCGACAGACTGTACAAGCTCTGTGTACAGGGGTATAGTGGTGCTGGGACACCCAAAAAAGAAAAAAAAACAACCCAATGCTTTCAACAGTGCTGCAAATTTTTAACGATCCAAGGTGGCAACAACCTTGATAGCACTTGAAGTACGTGCTTTGCATTTGGAATATGAGAAACAATGCCTTCATAGTAAATGCTCGCAATGCAACACATGTACAAGACATAACAATTCAAAAAAAAAAAAAAATCCCCTACCTCCATTGCTCTGGTGATGAAGGGTATTTGAGTTCCAGAGTCCAAGTCCTGGTTGATGATGAGTCTGCGGGCCCACTGACCGGCCCGCACCACACCACTGCCCTGGATCAGCACCAGGAGCTTGGATGGATTGGACAAGGCGTCGGGGCTTAGGTAGATAAAACTAGTGGGCTCATCCACAGTGGCATCTACCTGTTGTGAAAACATGAAAAACAGAAATAGTCACATAGCTGTTTGAATCGCAGCCAAAAAAGCTCTCCTGTCAGGAGATATCTTCTCCAGTTATGCATATCGCTTTTAGTATTTGCACCAGGGTTTCAAATATCATACCGTTTCACTCCATTTAAGGAGGTCAAGTTGTGATTCTACATTCAAAAGCTTCGTTTGATGTTGCTTGAAAAACGTGACGGTGATAAGTCTGGCGGATCGCATGAGTTGACAAAGCAACAGCCTTCACCTCGACGGATTTTATGCATTAGAGCGCGAACATGCGTCATCACGCTAATCATGACAAGCAAACAGCCTCGGAGTGATTAAAACTCAGACAGAAAGTGATACAGACAGAAAAAAGGGATAAGTGACTGTGTGCATGCACTCCCTCGGAGACAAGGACACAAACGCCATCCATAAAAGCCATGGGTGGCAGCTGCAAGAACTTAATCCAAGCAGACAAAGACAACTGAGTGGGGGGAGAAAATCTTGCCCTTTTATTCTCCGGTGCTCCCTCATTCCCTCTCACTATACTTGGCTTCAGTTAATCTTCTTAAAATCGGTGGTCACAAGTTCAATGCAGCGCAGGTGGACGGGACCCACCACTAACATACAAATTCATACGCCATATACACTCAGGCGGGTGGGCCACAAAGAAAGAAGGAAAAAAAAAAAGCACAACGGAGCCATTTTGTAAGGGAATAACGATATCAATAGTCGAGGCAGATAAACCAGTAAATGTGTATGGGGGTGGGGGGGGGGGCGTAATGAAAGGCGCTGAATCCCTAGCTAGCGGTTGATTTATGCACCCTGTTAGCGCTGCTGCTAACTCTGCTAGGGCTAACATTCCTATAAATGCAGCTTGAAAAATGATCAGAACTTTTATAGATGCGGAAAAGAAGGCAAGGGATAAGGGAGGGCTATATGTAGAGGCGAAAAGAGGCAAACATGCTTTCAACAACAAATGAAAGGGATCAAGTGAGCGCGCTGAGCTCGGATGATCTGGTCAAAGAATATGGCCACCATGGCAGTAGGAAGTCCCCCTTTCGAGCACATGAATGCAAAACAGATTAAGCGTCAACATGCGGCGGCGTCAAGCCTTTGAAATGACGCGTCACAAAACGGTTCATTTGTTGAGGAGACACTTTTACACAAAAGATTTGGGCGAACTGTAGGAGGGTGTGTGTGTGTGGGGGGGGGCAATAGAAAGAGAAAGAAGTAAGAAACACGTGGATAAAGTGGAAAAAGAGCTTACTTCTTACGATCTCATTTTCTTCATCTTGTTTGGGTTTTTTTTCCCTCACATTCTCTTTAAACTCAATATCCAATCACCATCACACGATGAAGCTGATGCATTTATGTCACTTTTCATAATTAATAGTCCTTTTACGCTTCAAGGGCATCAACAAAAATGGAAGGGGGGGAAAAAAAGCCTCCTTTCACTTAGAGTACTTACTGGTAGGATTGCTTTCGTCATGTTGCACTTTTTCTCCAGCAGCTCATAAACATGCTGAGTGACAATCTGGAAGGGGGGGAATGCACAAAAGGATGTGACATTAGTAACATTTTTGATGGCCTCATTCCAATGCCGATCATAGAAACTAAATAATATTCCCTGCGTAGACAGTAGCCCAGGTATTTGTAAAGAAAAAAAACAAAAACATAATAATTTGCAAACCCATATTTCCACTATGGCCTATGTGCTTGAGAGGGTTGAGGTTGTAAGTGCCGGGAAAGGAAATCTCCAGTACAGAAAAAGGCTGATGTAAGTTATGTTTATCCCTGCAGCCACAGCACTAAAGAACCTTGTATACGAGTCATTCCAACCCCAGGACAAGGCTTTCATGCTTCAGCGACGTTAACAACTTCTCTATTCAATTTGTCTTTTTTTTCTTTTTTTTCCACCCTGTCTTGCTTAGCTTGGTTTTGTAGTATCGGCCTGATGAGGAAACAAGAGTCTTAGTGGTGGTGCCACAGCTCCAAAGCGTGTCTGATTCCAAGTCACGCTTGCTAGTGACGAGCAAACTGAGCCCAAAAAACAAACGAGATCAAGCGGGGACCGTTTTAAAGCAGTGATATTTACTAGATGGTCAGGAGACATTTGCAAGCTGACTGCTATGTTAGAACATTCATTCTTTTTTTTTTTAAGGTATTCATTCATATCAATAGATAGTAGATACTGTACATGGGGAGGTAGCCAGATAGTTCGATAAAGAAGGCAGGCAAAAAGACTGCTAAACTGATTGAATTTAAAAAAAAAAAAAAGTAAGTGAAATAAAATATCTGACCGTATGGATTTCACCAGCAACGATTTTCAGGACAATTAATAAAAAAATAAAAATAATTAAAAAAAATTAAATACAAACACATGAAGATTCAACTGAAAATAACAGAACATTAAATTTAACAACCAAATGTACACCCCCCAGCCCTCGTCACAGCATTGTCAAAGTAATGCGGTTAACATGGGGAAATAATGCCCCCCTTCCACTGCACGTACTGTACCTCGACAGCTTATTTTTTGGCAAAACCAGTTTGCAGGAACTATTTTCTTGCATCTGATCAGTCGAGTTTTCAAGAATGTGGATCCATTGAAAAAAATTCCACTGACCAGGTGCTCGAATGGTCTGTTCTAAAATTCCGCCACATTTAAAGTGGCATGAAATGGTGAATATCGCAATAATATCTTTGATTATTCCCCTGAATCCCAAAAGCGCCGTTCTCTTTCATGCAGACACAAGCTCAATGCTAACTTGATTTACTGCTTATGAAGAGCAGGCGCAAATAATATCCGCGCCAGACACATATTAGCCTTATGATAGCCAATCAAAGGCCACCCGTCGGACCAAATGAGACGATCGATCGACTATTTGACCCTATAGTGAAAAACAGCAAGCAGAGGCAAAACAAGCACACCTCAGCACCCCCCAACCCACCCAGTCTTCATCAGCTAATTCACTAAAATGTCAGACCAACTGATGAAGACTTAAATGATTTCGGGCTCTAGTATGCTGCTTTATAATAACATCAATAAGCATTGCAGGAAATTTCATCTGCACTCTACGTTACATTATTTGTCCGGGTGCCTCAGGTGGCTGAGCAGCCTCTCATAGAGAAAATGAAATAGATCGAGAACAGGGGAGAATACGGTACGAACGTATGCTAGCCCATGGATATATAGCAAACACGATTGAACGTTTAACATTCAATACTGACTGTGTGCAATGATGTATGTTTAGTTTGTGTGTTTTTTTTAAGCGGAAAATAAACTGAAATGCACTTAAGAGGGGGCGGCCCGGTGGGCCAGTGGTTACTCGTCGACCTCACAGTGATAGAAATGTGTTAAAACATTAGCATCTAAGTCAAGAGACAAATTTCCCAATCAGAAATTTCCCAAGAACATGTTTTAGAGGACTTCTGAGGACTGCCTCGGTAACTCATGAGTACAACGAGAGAAGCTTCTCAATCACCCAGTTGCTCCGACTTTTCGGCCCGTCACCTGCTAATGAAATCTCAATGTAACACCGACAGAAAGTGAGCCTTTCATAGGAGTGGATTTTAAAACAATGCGACCGAGAGAAACAAAAGTGAAGTGCGACAAAAGGGAACATGGGCAAGAGAAGAACCTTGCTTGGATTGAAAACAATGTTATTGATGTCAAAGTGTGCCTACGGTGGCGATGCCGTGTCACAGTCGGCCCTAAACGATGAGAATTAATGACGAGGCTGATGCGTAGGATTAAATTGTGCACCTACTGCCGTGACTGACGTGTATATGAGACGATATTGTCACTGTTCTGTTTTGTTTTAAGAAATGTCGACCCTATGATCAACGAGACTCAAATGTCTCCGATACATTGAAGCCGCAACCTGTCTGCGCAGCTGCCAAGGTAATTGTGTGAGAACCGGCGTTTGGCCCTGCTGCGCATGAGGTCATCTCCCGTGTTTGTGGTTTATTTGTGCAAGGGAATCATCGCGGCGATGAAAACAAGAACGGGGGGGATCAAGAAGGAAGGGGGAGCTCAGCGGGAGGAAGAGGAAAAGACAAAAGGGGAGCGATGTGGAGGGAATCCCCAGAAGGAAGAAAGTGGTGCCAGCAACAGCTGACATGAGGAGCGATGGAAGACAGCACAGATGAAGGGGAGCGGGGGCGGGCGGGCGGGTGGGGGGGGGATAGTCATTGTACAGTTCAAGGCCTTGATAAGAGTCCTTGAAGTGGCCGGGCAGCGATATAAATTCGTCATCCACGTAACAATCTCGCCATAAAACACCAGGCTGACGGCTTAATGAGGAATGCTGATAGAGCCTGCAAGTGGTTACATTGTTAAACTCCTCAGCAGAGATGGAGACAGACCTCCCTCATTCAGAGCGCACGTGTCCGTTATTGTGTGTCCGACAAAGTGTGTATCTTCCCAGTGATTACAACCGTCACGCCTGGCTTGACTCACGGCACCTGAGGCGAGAAAGGGAGGTGATCCTGTGAGGGGCCGTCAGGGACATCTTTCGGGATGAGGTTTTAAAGCGGTTTCATGTACAGTCCCTTCCAAAAGAATTGGAACGGCCGGGTCAATTTCCGTTGCCGCGCGCTGATGACATTGGGGTTTCGGATGAAAAGGTGAATATCGGCCAAAAATTCAGAATTTCAATTATTATTTAATGGTATTTATATTGATACCCCTCAATCCCAGTCGTTTGAATATAAAATAGCTAAATTTCATCAGATTTCCATTTTCTGAGGGAAAAAAAAAAACGGAGAAAAAGCTTTTGTAAACCGCGCATTTCAAGCATCATTTCAAGTATGGCGACACTATTCTTTGCTTTCGTGACATCTCAAACACCGAAATAAGATTTTCCTTCTCCAAAACGACATAAACAACACCACAAAAGGGCTTTTGATAGCAAAAATATTCATCTGCATTCTATTGAACAGATGAAATGAAACAGCAGTGAAACAATGAGCGCAGTGAACGTGCGTACAGTGATCATTGAAACGTTGTCGTCATGCGCATTTCTCGATAAATGTGCACATGTATAAGAGCGTGAGCAAATCTCGTCTCTGTCGTCCGGCGCTGTCAAAACACCACTTAGCCAAACAAACTGGTGAGCAAGACAAGGCAAAAGAGCCATTTATATAATGGATTACGCACAGGTGCTCTGTGCTGTATCACTGTCAACACCCAAGGAAAGCATTTGTATCTAAACAGGAGAAAATGGGGAAAAAAAAGACACTGAAAAATCCCCCAAACAATGCACACAACACAACAGTGGCAACAACAACAACAACAACAACAACAAAGCAGACTCGTAGAAAGAGACTGCAAGAGTGAGAGGAAGCATTAGGCAATCGAAAAAGCTTGTTTATTTTAAGTCAGCCTTGTGTACCAACAGAAAGTGGCATTAAAACAGGGCTTAGTGTTGTGAATTTGTGATCTGTCAGTCCATGCAGGAAACAAAGAGAGCGAGAGAGAGAGAGAGAGAGAGAGAGAGAGAGAGAGAGAGAGCGAAGAAGCCCGGCCAATATTCCCAGGAGGTCTCTGTCATTCTGTCTGAGGAGCGAGGGATCTCCAGGGGGAGTGAAAGTTCTCAGACTGACAGACTGTTTACACTAGACGGTATAAGATATTCCCTTTTCTCGCTCCCACTCCTCTTCCCCTAATAGTCTCATAATGACCTCCTCAGGTGTTAACTGAGAAGCCAGCAGCGGGCTAATTCAAAGTAAAGTAGCGAATGCCACCGTGGGCGACGGCGCTAGCGACAGATGCCAGCGCTGCCACGGCCAGCGCTGACACCTCCCTTCCCCACCCTTTGTAGGATTCCCTTCTCTTTCGAATCTAATTCACCTCACCCTGCAACCATTTTTTTTTTTTTTTTTGCGAGACTGCTTGACTGCTTTCTCTTGCCAGTATTTCAAAGTGCAGCTGGAAGATGATGATCATGATGATGGCGGTGAGTCAGGAAGGGCGGACAGCTGCCATTTATAGTTCCCTCTTCTGGATAATTTCAGAAACTCTGCATGATCCAGGATTAATCTGGGGTCTTCTGATGCTTTAAATTCAGGATGGTGGTCTCCGAGCATCCTAATTTGAGTCATTGTCAAAAAAAAAAAAAAGGCCACAGAATGTTTTAAGATTAGCCCGGTTGATTTTTTTTTTCCTACTAGTTAAAGCAAGGTTTTTTTGCCCCTCACTCTGTGTTTTGGAAAAGTGAATTTGTATCCGAATACAATATATGTCTTGACAATAATTGCTGAAAATGCTGAAAGGACTGAGAGGTACAGTGTGTGATACTCAGTCGTCAGGATATATCATGAAACAGTTTTTGATCATTTCAATTTTCATGAATTTTAGGGGGCCTGGCTCAGGACCACGACAGCGTCCTGGTAACTAAGTAGGTACGCCTACACCCGGAAAATGCTTTTTTTCTCTGGATGTCTCAATTTACAGAACAACTCAGTGCCATTATTTAAATGACTAAGCAGCTAGATGTTGCTGTGGAATTATTTAAATGACTAAGCAGCGAGTTG